CCCCGCCGTGGACTCCGCGGCCCAGCCGGAGCTCCAGGCCGCGGCCCCGACGGGCCCTCCGCGCCCGCCCAAGCCGCGCGGCGCCGCGGCCCAGGGAGGCTCGGCGGGGGGCCAGCGGCGGGCCACGCTGCCACACTGCTTCCCAGAGCTGGAGAGGAGGGACGGATGTTTGGAGGGAGGAGGTCTGCCGAGGAGCAACACCGTCACCTCGCCGGGTGAGAAGACAGTTTGGTTTCGTCTTTTTCGGCGTCATTTTGTGTATTTTTTGGTTGTTTTCAGTCTATTTCTGAACGTTTAACGACATTTCTTGTCCGTTTTTAGTGGATTTATGTCTCTTTGACACTTTGTCCACTTACTCCTGACAAAAATATCTGGTTGTTCAGCTCACACACGAAAGCCTTTAGGAACATTGTGTAAATGTACCTTCAATAAGTACAAATAAGGTCTGTGAAACAGTTTTGAAGCTCAGAGGAGATTAAGCAGCTTCATTGTGCAGCGCTGACGGATTATATCCTCACGGCTGTAACAGTTTTCACCAGAATAAGACGAGACCTTTGCCCCCTGAATGGAACAGAGACTCTTTGTCGTGCAGATCTCAGCTTGAAACCCGCGGCTTTAAAATGTTCCGTAATTCTCCAAAGGTTCTTTCACGGTGCGTCAGAACCCTTTAACAGTCAAACGTGTTTCTATTTGCTCCAGGTGGCGACGCCGTTTACGCCCCTCGGTCTCTGTCCCACAGAGCGAGCATGTTTGACTTCAGCGAGCGCTTCAACAGTTACTTCGTAAGTGGAATCTTTAAAAAGAATAAATGTGCGTTTAAAGCCTGTGATCCTCACGTATAACTGCGAGTCTCTCTCTAGTTGAATAAAGGCCTGGTGCCTCTGGGTAGCGTTTGCTCTGAGGACGACGACGTGGACGAGAACTACGTTCCCATGAGCGCCGCCGCCACCGAGCCTCCTGTCGCCCCGAGGTCAGAGGGCGCCGACGCCGAAGCAGCTACGACACCGTTTGCCATCATCGTTGAATGACACGTCCTTTCTGCCCTAATGTCCGACTTCTTCTTCTTCTTCTCTAGTTCCAGGGTGCCTCCACCTCCTCCCTCGGACCCCTGCGTCCACCTCCGGGAGGCCAACTACGTCCCCATGACCCCCCTCGCCCCTCCCCCCCCCGCTCACCCGACCCCGGCGACGGGCGACCCGCCCTCCCTCGGGAAACGGGTGCCACCTCCTGCCCACGCGGGTTTTCGCAGCCACCCCCTGACTCCCGCCGCCCCCCTCACCCCGCCGCCGCTCCGGAGGGCCGCCGCGGAGTCTCCCGGGGGAGGGGGAGGGGAGGCGACGCCCCCCCCCATCCACCGCGACCTGAAACCGCAACGCAGAGGTGAGTTTGATGCCTCCTCGGGCCAGAGTCACATGACGGGTCACATGACAGGTCACATGACGGGACCTCGCGGTGCAGTGGTTCTGCTGTCGCTCCGCCTGCAGACACAGAACCAGAGGAGGAACCAGTCTGATTTCTCTCCCAGTGCGTCTCTCTGGTTTCCCCTTCGGCCTCTTTTAGGTCTGAATTATTTACCGGTTCCCAACAGCTTATGGAAACGCATTAAATATTAGCGATGCTTGTGAAGGTGTTTCTGCAACACAGCGGCTTCTTTTTAAAAGCTTTTTGTTCCAAACATAAAAACACTTACTAGCATTTAAAATACATTTCATTTGACATTCTCTACAACGGTCGCTACACCACTTGTTTACCAAACTAAACGTGGCCAGATTTTTGCTTTTCACATGTGTTCTTGTCCCAGATGTCAGCGTTCCAGGGTGTCGCCCTGTTGCTTTTTGCGTTTCTAAAAGTCTCTCCTCTCGTCTCCCAGGGAAACCGGCTCCTCTGGACATCAGTCCAATGCAGCAGGAGTGGCAGGAAGTCCCGCCCCCTGTCCGCTCGCCTGTCACTCGAACCTTCACGAGAGAGTAAGTGTGTGTGTGCGTGATGTTTTATAGTGCGTCAACATAAAAAAACACCCATGTTTAACGTCCAGAAGCAGCAGGAAGTAGACGTGATGTATATATACTATATATACTATACTATATATATGATATATGATACTATTGTATTTATTTAATCTCATCCATTAATTAAATGTTTAATACTTTGAAACAAATATCTGTTAAAATGTCCTCTTGTTTGGTTTGATGTCTTTAAATGACAAATAACAAACTCAACCACTCACTCAGATGGATTTTTTTTCAGGAAATAAAATATTTCATCATAATGATAAATCAATAGATCGTAGCGGCTCTAAACTTTATCCTTATTTTTCATTGTGCGTCAGCCCGTCCAGCTGCCGGCCCGTCAGGCCGACCTCCGCTCACAGCTCGTCCCCGTCCTCCGACTCCGATGACGCCGACGACAGCTGCGTCGCCATGACGACGACGACGACCTCCACCCTCAGCTTCAGCGCCGGCGAGTTGGTAAAACGCTCGCTTCCGTTCCTCCTCAACTCTTTCTTCTTCTCCATCCCTGCTGCTCCGCATCCTCCTCCCTGTGCACCGTCTCTCCCTCCACCCGTCAGCAGTTCCTTCCGTTCCTCTTGACCTCATCCGCTTTCTCCCCATTCATCCACTTCATCGTGTGCGTCTAAACAGTCTCTGAGGCTCCTGCTGCACCGGGCCTCAGAAGGTGGAGTCAGCAGCCCGATGCTCCGGCGCGCCATCGGCGACAAACAGGTGGAGTACCTGGACCTGGACCTGGACCTCCACACCGGGCGATCGACGGCAACCAGACAGGTGACGCGACTCTCTCTCCTCCTCTCTGTACACGTTGTGTTACGTGTTCAGTGTGTGTGGTCGTTCAGCCACTGGAGGGCGACAAAGCGAACTAGTACGCTTTGTTTTTTTGCGTCGACAAATCGATCCGCCGAGTGATTCGCGAATCTTTTAACCAGAAACGCCGCACGGCCGAAGGCGGCGGCGGCGGAGGAGGCGGCGAGCCGGCGGCGGCGGGCGAGGAGCGCGCGCGCGTGGACTACGTGGTGGTGGACCCCAGGAGAACCAAGGCCCTGAGGAGCACCAGAGAAGCGTGGCACGATGGGAGGATGTCCACGGAGAAAGAGAAATGCCCGAGCTAACTGCCGCCGACTCCACGGGTCCTGCTGAAGTCAGCGACCTCCCCTCCAGGGTCACGAGGCCGACGGCCGACGTCATCAACTTCTAAACGACCATCACTTGGCTTTTCATATCATTTTGTGCGTAAACTCCCAGACGCGTGTCCGGGAACGAGCTCACTAAATTCCGTAGGATTCGTCTTCTGGGGACCACGAGTGCAAAATGTCCTCAATTACCTGTTTCAGGTGTCGTTGAAGACGTGGTCTGCTGGTGACTTCTGGGAAACACGCTGTGCGGCGTGTGTCTGCTGCGCTGGTCCTCTTTAAACACGTGACTGCTTAACACGAATCCAAAGGGTATATTTATGTACATATATACAAGTACAACAGAAAGTACAATGTCTCTGATGTAATACAATCATTACATCTAAAATGTACTATATTTAGTACAGCAAAAACTACAATATTTAGTTTAGATTTAGTACAATAAAGAGTACAATATTAAGATGTAGTGGAGCAGAAGTTTGAATCGTCATTAAATAAAAATACTCAAGTAACAAACAACACAATGTTCCCTCTGATTCACTTCATCAGAACATCTAAACATCTGGTTTGTTTTCCTCAGTAAATACTTCACATATTTAAAGTTTTGGGGTTTTTTAGGACTTTATTTCAGTCTTTAATGAACTGAGGTTTCATAACTGTCCTCCACCCTCCTACAAACACCACCTATACAGAGAGTTTTTATAAAGTGACCAATGATGAAATGCAGCCTGATCGTTTTGTGAATATTCCTCCGTATAAATGATCAGAATCTCTTTACGTGTCGATAAAGTGTTGATGGATCCTGAGACGATGTCTCTGTTTTTACTGAATCCAAGTCCATAACCGGACAATAGACCCTCTATAAATCACATCGCCCTGATGTTCTAATGCGACCGGACATAGAAAACAATTCTTTCCATCACGCCTGTACGTGTGTTATCCTTTGGTCACGTGTTGCGTGGCGTCTTTCTCTCTCTTTGTATTGACTTTAGAAACAACAGCTCATGAGAATAAAGTGAACATCAGCATCCAGCGCCTCCGTGTGACCTTGTTGCCTCGTAGAAGAATCAAACCACCTCCATGTGTTGCTGTTCTGACACATTGTTCACTTTGATTCTGCTTCCAAAATACTTTTATTCAGAATTATTCACTCACAGACTGAATAAATGTTTTTCGGGGGTTTGATGAATTCACAGTAATCTGCCGTTGGATGAAATGATTACAAATCAACCCTCATGTTGTTTTGTTTCCCTGTTTACTGTAAACTTCCTCGCGGAGGTTCAAGCCATTTTTTTTATGAAGTGAGCAACCAGTTTACTGCTTCGTCGTTGTATTTTGGGTGATATTTGTGACGTCATCGCATGAAGAGCGACACCCGTCTGGGAGACTTACTTTATTCTAGTAAATGAGTCAGGAGGAAACTGACTGACTGAGGAGCTTCACTCAAGACGTCCAAGGTGAGGAGAGAATGACTTAATGTTGTTGTGATTATATGGATTACACAAGATGTTCGTTTGTTTTGCTCATTAAATAGAATTAAACGATAAAAATATGCAATTTTTTTGATGACATATCGGAATATAACCTGATCCATCGAGAAAAAACAGCTTTATTATTGAGTAAAGAACATTTTCAACAATAGCATGAGGTTGTGTGTGTTCACTGTGTGGTGTTTGTTATAAATGTTGGTAGAGCATTTGTGTAGCACAAAAACAAGGCAACTCAAAGTGCTTCACAGAAAACCATTGAAAACATCTAAACATAAATTAAGGAGATTAAAAAAAAGTTAAGGAAATTGATTGAAACATAAAAGATAAAAAAGCAAAAAGACAACGTTAAAAAACTAAAAATTGAATAAAATACGAGAGTGACAAAATTCAGAAAAGCATATATAGTAAATTAAAGGCCGAACAGAACAGTCTGTAATCTGGATTTAAAGGATCTGACCTGCGGCTCTCTGGGACAGGATGAAGAATTCAGTCTGAATCAAATATAACTTTCGCAGGGGCCACTAGAGGGCGCCCACGTGAACAGGTTCCCCCACCAATGTCTGCAGGGGCCACTAGAGGGCGCCCACGTGAACAGGTTCCCCCACCAATGTCTGCAGGGGCCGCTAGAGGGCGCCCACGTGACACCCACCCGCCTGTCTCTGTTATGATCCGTCGGGATGTTAAGTGGAATCTAACATCTCGTTACACAAACATAAGCCAGGGAAGAAAAGTTAATATATGAATAAAAATAATAATAATAATCTGTGGCCAATAGGAGTGTGTGTGCAACAGTGGTTGACATGCAGAGACATTTACTCATTGTACTCATTGATTGTCCACTGTTTATGCAATAGAGTTAATAATGTGGTAATAATGCGGTTAAATCAAAGGGGTGTGTGATCACAGAACCAGGAAGCTATAAAAGAGCATCAGGATGTGAAGACACACTGTAGATTGTTGGTGTGATGATGATGTTTGAGCCTCTTCTCCTCTGTCTCCTCTCACAGGGAGGAGATGATCTGCAGCATCCTGGTGATCTTCATCCTGACCTCCTGTGTCTGTGGTCAGTTCACTTTTGTGTTTGTGAAGCAGCTGTGAAGCATCAGCACACACTCCTCAGAAACATCTGGAGATGGAGTCTAAAGGCTCCATGTTAAAGCTGTCACTTTGTCACCTCCTCCTCTCCTTCTCTGTCTCCTCAGCAGGGTCATTTGTAGTGAATGTGACACAGAGCTGGTATCATGCAGAGGAGAACCACAACATCTCACTGGAATGGATGTTCCCCACCAGCACGGACCCCTCCCCCAACGCCCTTCATGTCTCCTGTGAGATGTTAGCTGATGAGAGACCCTTTACCCTGTTTGAGCTACATGACGGTGTCGAGGTCCCAGAGATGCAGGATAAACGCTTTGCAGGACGAGTCCAGTGGGACAAAGACGTCCTCAGAGAAGGACGACTCAGACTTCACATCTCCAGACTCCAGACTAATGACTCGGGGCTGTACTGGTGTCAAGTGGACACAAGTTATGGGAAGAACTTTAAGGAATGTCACCTCAAGGTCACTGGTAGGTTCATTAAGTTAAACTTACTAACATGTTTAATTCAGCAGCTTTATTCAGATAAATAAACCTTTTTCTTTACATTAATAAACAGATTTGTTGTGTCTCTTTGCAGCAGTGAAGGATCGACCCGAACCTGAGACATCGAGTGACACCAGACTGAGAAGAGAAAGGGAAAGCATCGTTCTCTACTGTGCACTGGGACTGACAGCAGCTCTACTGGTTCTTTCTTTATTTTCTGATATTAGTGATCAGGACAACAAACAATACCTCGGAGTCACAATTGAAGTTATTGATCCTTTAAGTGATTGCACAGAAACCGTCTGAGGTGTCCAGCTGAGACAAATCGGGATCTTAAGCCTGTTTGTGTTATTAAAAACTACTTTAATTTCCAGTTTACGTGTTTAAACTCCAACTTGACCCAAAAAGTTCTTTTAAATAGCTGATTTATCTAAAAGCTGTTCATCAATAACATTGAATACCCCAAACTTGATGGAAATAGACTGGCTTCACTGACAGGGAGAGCAGTGTGATAGAAACGCCCTCACACTAAATCACAGTGTCCACAGTGGTCATTGTCGTCCTGTTTATAGCTGTGGATTTTTTTAACAGGAAGTTTGCGACATTAGATTGTTTTGTTATTTTTTATAATATGTCACTTCGAATGGAATTCTCATCAAGCGCGTACAACGTAAAGCAGATGCAGTACCGTTTGCAGCCACTACGACGGGCTGGTGGCGCTCGTTCAAGATAGATAGAGAGATGGATACATTATACTAGATTACATATATAATATATATAGAGAGAGAGAGAAAAAATATTGAACTTCAAATTAGTTTGGCGTTGTTTTAATCTGCATTAAATAACTGATGATGTGATGTTTGCTGAAATCAATTGGACAGCCCTCCCTACAAAATGTTCCACCAGCCACATCTGGATCTTTGGACGTCTCCTGTGTGTCTCATGGACCAACAGCAGCATGAAGGTATCAGTGAGTCCACAGAGACACGTGTGACTCAGGGAGCCCAGCTGGTGAACGCTGAGCCCTCGTTGTTTGTGTGATGGTGAGTTAGTTTAGTTTCATCAGGACCAAACTGACTCACCTTCAGACATCACAGCATGAATGTAAGTCAATGGTGACATGAAGTGTCAGGGAGACTGTGGGTGTAGAGTCCAACCAGAGGATCAACGGTTCCATCCCAGGCGCTCTGAGGGGTCGGGAGAATAGAAAAGCACTTTGCTCTTATATTGTTTCCTCTTTCAAAAGAATAAATTGTACTTTTGAATTTAACGTTTTAAAAAACGAACACAAAAGATGTTATTAACCTTCACCAAAAAATAGCATTACATTTTTAAATACTCAGGGAATGTTATTGATATATGTAAGTCTCGTTTTTATTTTTTATCCTATTGTTACACTTTTAAAAGAATTGTATTTTTACTTTCCACATTCAAATCACAAATCAAAACCCATTAGCTGCTTTTAATGTGAGACCAACATTGTGTGTTTTATTTATTATCTTTTCTATCTCATGAAGGTGTCACGACTCCTCAGGCGATGTTCGCAAAATCAAAGTTTCTTAACAAAAGGCAAATGCCGCTGAGATGAAAATCACTCTTGATAGAGGAAAAATCCCATAAGGATCTAGAAAATGAAACTAAGCTGAAAGAGGAATCAAACAGAAAGAGACCCTGAACAAGGTACGAAAAACGTGGTAAAGCTGGACGATGGACGTGGATACACGCTGGTTCTCTGTGACACTGGAACAGGACAAACGGAGACGCAGACAATATACACACAAGGTGAAGACACAGGTGGAAACATCAGGGGAAGGACAGACAGTGGGACCTGCACAAAGGGGGGAAGAAGCAAGCTGCCTGAAACGAGAGGAACGTCGGTTTTCAAAATAAAACAGGAAATCACGAGACACATAGACACGAGACAACTTGATTAACACCTGGACACGACAGAATGTTGGTTATTTAAATATATCATTTTATTCATTTATTTTATAAATATATATATTTATGTACTACTGCAGTAGATCCCGCCACCGTTACAGTAAACAGAATAAAAGCGTTTTATTAAAAATATATGTAAATATACTTGTGATTTTCTATTTATGGCACAATTCTATAACTTCATCAGGTATCACAATAATAATCAAAATACGATCTGAAACAGTTTCCCATTTGTGGAATCAATCCAGATGATCAACAGTGAGCACCAGTGACATTGAAAGGAGGTGAGGCGTATTCTACTTCTACTTCTATTCTACTCAAGTACAAGTACTGTTACATTGCTTAAATTGTACTCAATTACAAGTACTTTGGTAAAAGTACAACGTACTCTTCTAAAAAACTACTCAGAGTACAAATTACTTGCAAACGGCAAAACAAATCCAGCAGTAAAACGCTGCAAGAGAAAAATGACCGGAGAACACGTGACGAATAACTTCAAAACGCGTGCAAGAGAGAAACGCTGCAAGTTCACTCGAAACACAACGGAAGTTCTCCAGCCCACTGGGGGGTCTCGACCTGTGGGACAGCGGATGGACTGTGGGAGATCGGTAACTCCAGGTACGGCCCCCGGGGCAAGTCGTCCTCCGTCTTTTGTTCATTATTGTCCGTGGTCACTTCTGTCTCCATTTAGGCTTCTTTCTCAAACTCTCAGTCCTTCTCAGTCTTTACAGCGCTGTGTATTTTACATCCAGAAACATTTACCTGCTGCAGTTATATAGTTGTCCTTTGCTTACATTACGTCTCAGAATAAGACGGGCGCCATCTGACAGCCAACAAGGATTTGCATTGAAATCTGACGGTTTGAATATTATTTTAAATTGTGGGCAAACTCAAAAGCGACTTTTGATTTTAAAAGTAGCGAAGTAGATTACAAGGTGTAAATTGTACTCAAGTATGAGTAAAATTACACACTTCAAGAAAATACTCATAAAAGTACAAGTGCCCAAAAAATCTACTCAATTACAGCGACGTGAGTATTTGTAGTTTGTTACTCCCACCCCTGCTTCTGACTTCTGTAAACCAACCAGGTTCTCTGCATCTGCACCACTGCAGTAGTTCCCACACCTTTTCTGTCGGGGAAACCGTCTGTTTGAGGAAACACTTTATTGCCAAACCGTCTGTTTGAGGAAACACTTTATTGCCAAACCGTCTGTTTGAGGAAACAGACGGTTTAGCAGTAAACTGATTACTATCAACAGCTTCTCCATTTACACTATATGAGTCACGCCCCAATAGGGCGATGAGCCAACACGCTTGAACCCCAACGACGTGAAGCTTTATGATTGGTCGGTAGAACAGTAGAGTGGGAGTTTTGAAATGTCAGTCAGTCATTCAGATGACACGTGTGAACGCACCTTCACAGAGAAAGAGAAAGAACCAGCATGTGGTCCTTGAGACCGTTATTTTATTCTTAACTTTGTAAATGAGTTCTGATGAACTTCACAGACTGAGGAGTTTTACTTGTTGAAGAGCTTCAGATCACAGGACTCAAGACGTCCAAGGTAAAGAGAGAAGGACTAAATGGTACTCAAGTATGAGTAATATTACCCACTTCAAGAAAATACTCATAAAAGTACAAGTGCCCAAAAAATCTACTCAATTACAGCGACGTGAGTATTTGTAGTTCGTTACTTCCACCCCTGCTTCTGACTTCTGTAAACCAACCAGGTTCTCTGCATCTGCACCACTGCAGTAGTTCCCACACCTTTTCTGTCGGGGCCCCTTTGAGGAAACAGACGGTTTAGCAGTAAACTGATTACTATCAACAGCTTCTCCATTTACACTATATGAGTCACGCCCCAATAGGGCGATGAGCCAATACGCTTGAACCCCAACGACGTGAAGCTTTATGATTGGTCGGTAGAAGAGTAGAGTGGGAGTTTTGAAAGTCTGTCTATTTCATTTCTGTAAGCGTGTACTCATATTCAGATGAATGGTGTTTCAGGTCCTTCACACGTGTGAACGCACCTTCACAGAGAAAGAGAAAGAACCAGCACGTGGTCTGAGACCGTTGTTTTATTCTTAACTTTGTAAATGAGTTCTGATGAACTTCAGACTGAGGAGTTTACTTGTTGAAGAGCTTCAGATCACAGGATTCAAGACGTCCAAGGTAAGGAGAGAAGGACTTCATCGATAACACAAGATATTTACGGTTAATAATATTTGTTTAGTTTATTAAATATAATTAACCTGTAAAAAGATGAAATGCATTGATCAGATCAGAATTTAACCTGATCCATCAAGATAAAAAACAGCTAACTCACAACTGCTCTGCACTTTAGCTTGTTAGGATTTCACTTACTGTTACTGTACTGTTTTATATTTATATTGCACACATTTCATTTAATATAAGTTTTTTTTACAACCTGCTCAGTTTTGCGCTTTTACCTCATTTCTGCCTTATTTTTATTTTTATTTCATGTACATTTATGTAAATATTGGATTTTTATTTTAATTTTAAAATTGGTCGGCTTTCCAGAAAAGGCAAGCACAATCATTTCAATACACAGCTCGTGTGTAACTGACAATAAAAAATCTTTGAATCTCTGAGTAAAGAATCCTAATCAGCCTCATGAGGTTGTGTGTGTTCCCTGTGTGGTGTTTGTTACACATTTCGGTACGTAGATGTTCACTCTGAGGTCTGTGGAGCCAAATGCAGAACACGAGCTTTGAAACTTGAGAGATTTATGTGGTCGTTGAACGATACAATCTGAGACAGTTTAGTGATTTTATTCTATGATTCTGACGAGTAGAGTCCAGAACAGCCAAACAGAACTTGGTTCCTGGCGTCAATGGTTTCACATCATCCTGAATACAGTGTGTAGAAAGTGTTGATCCATAAAACTCTTTGTTCCTACGTCTCCTGAAGGCAACGCGGTTGACGGTTAAACTCCACCAGATCAGGAAATAAAGTCTGAATCTGCAAAAGGAAGATCAGGGAAACAAAGACGTTAAATTGAAAAAAAAAATCTGAAACTATACGATTTAAATCTGAAGATATAAAATCTGTAATATAATACTGCGAATATTCAAAAAATATATAAAGTGGAGAATGAAAAAAATATTTTATAAAAAAAAAAGAGGAACTGAGTCTAAACCGTTCAACCCAACTTTTCGTCCACATATTTTTATTTGAATATTGTATTTTTGAATGTTCAAGATCAAGTCTTTCAGGTTCCCATTTCTTTTTCAAATGATCAAAACCTTGATATCAAGCCCTTGTTTTCCCTCTCGGCCAACGGCTCGTTACTCAACAAGCACACGTGACCGTTGGAGGATTTTGGTAAAACATGAGGAGACCTGCTCAGTGCAGGTGAAGCAAAACCCAGAGGACACAAGAGACGACAACTCTTCAACCAAGAAATGTAGAGGAGAAAAAGGGAAAGAAAAGACAAGTCAAGACAAAGTCCAGTTGAGAACGGCTGGTTTATGATCCAGCCAAGAAAATAGTGTAATGCACTGATTGTAGGACGTGAAAAGGTTGAGCGGGTCTCTTGTTGGGACAAGAAACTTCACAGTGAAAACAATGAAGGACCATGAAGTTTCCATCGGCCATGTGAAAAGCATTAACGATTAAACAAAAGTACCTCTGCACCAGTTATATGCAAAAAGCTACTCTTTTTGTCTTTGTCTTAATCAGTTGCAGATGTTACACACTTTATAAAGCTCCTTATGTATAAGTACAGGTGACCGTACACGAACATCTTGTATTTGGCTATGAGTGAAACATCTCCAGGAAAACCAGCTTCACTTTGTGGTTGTAGTTCTCCTGGAGGTTGTCATCAGCATGAAAGCTTTGTGTGTTTGTAACAAGCATGATGAAGAACACAAAGAGCATCAGGATGTGAAGACACACTGTAGATTGTTGGTGTGATGATGATGTTTGAGCCTCTTCTCCTCTGTCTCCTCTCACAGGGAGGAGATGATCTGCAGCATCCTGGTGATCTTCATCCTGACCTCCTGTGTCTGTGGTCAGTTCACTTTTGTGTTTGTGAAGCAGCTGTGAAGCATCAGCACACACTCCTCAGAAACATCTGGAGATGGAGTCTAAAGGCTCCATGTTAAAGCTGTCACTTTGTCACCTCCTCCTCTCCTTCTCTGTCTCCTCAGCAGGGTCATTTGTAGTGAATGTGACACAGAGCTGGTATCATGCAGAGGAGAACCACAACATCTCACTGGAATGGATGTTCCCCACCAGCACGGACCCCTCCCCCAACGCCCTTCATGTCTCCTGTGAGACGTTAATTAATCAGATACACTCAGTCCTGTTTCATCTGTATGAAGGTGTCGAGATCCCAGAGATGCAGGATAAACACTTTGCAGGACGAGTCCAGTGGGACAAAGACGTCCTCAGAGAAGGACGACTCAGACTTCACATCTCCAGACTCCAGACTAGTGACTCGGGGCTGTACTGGTGTCAAGTGGACACAAGTTATGGGATGAACTATAAGGAATGTCACCTCAATGTCACTGGTAGGTTCATTAAGTTAAACTTACTAACACGTTTAATTCAGCAGCTTTATTCAGATAAATAAACCTTTTTCTTTACATTAATAAACAGATTTGTTGTGTCTCTTTGCAGCAGTGAAGGATCGACCCGAACCTGAGACAACGACTGATACCAGACTGAGATGGATCGGCCTCTACTGTGCACTGGGACTGACAGCAGCTCTACTGGTTGTTTATTTTTTTTATCTCTGCTTTTCAAACAAGACCAGTGATCAGCAGAACATACGATACACCAGAAACACAATTCAAGTGATTGATCCTTTAAGATTTTGCACAGAAACAGTCTGAGTTGTTCTGACTGAAGTCCAGCTGAGACACATCTGGATCTTTGGATGTCTCCTGTGTGTCTCATGGACCAACAGCAGCATGAAGGTATCAGTGAGTCCACAGAGACACGTGTGACTCAGGGAGCCCAGCTGGTGAACGCTGAGCCCTCGTTGTTTGTGTGAAGGTCAGTTAGTTTAGTTTCATCAGGACCAAACTGATTCACCTTCTGACATCACAGCATGAATGTAAGTCAATGGTTACATGAAGTGTCAGGGAGACTGTGGGTGTAGAGTCCAATCAGAGGATCAACGGTTGACATACTTTTGTTTTTTGTTCTAGACCTTCAGCTCCTCTAACAGAGACTCTGACTACTGAACATATTCTGCATTAAGCATCATGCTGCTCGTCATCAAAGACTAATGTTTATTCTGGTTCCTGTTCATAAAGAAAGGAAACACATTCATATTCTGTATGTTAAGCCTGTAAAAAGAAAAATAGATCCTCACGATGCCTCAATATTGCATTTTGCACATAATGCGATTAATCGTTAACCACAGAAAAATCGTGTGATTTATCAAATTACATTTCTTCATCTTTTCCTAACATTAATACATACCATTTCATATTTGTACAAAAAATACACTGTTACATTACTTTTATTTATTATCCTACTTTTGTTTTGAATATATTGTGAATGGAATAAAGTATTACCTGTTTAATCACTACGAAATCAGTGTCTTCATTGGTCGTATTAATTCAATAAGTCACATAGTGATCAAATCCATCCTCAATAATACAAACGTGTCACATGAAGGTAAATGTTAAGAGAGAAGCAGATTAAATACACACAGCATACAAGGTACACACACTTCTCAGCATTCTGTCTATACAGTGAACACTCTTTTATTTCATAATGTGATCACTGAAGAGGTTGTTAATGCTGCTACATGTCGTGATTATTAGTGACCATTGAAAAGTCCTGAGGAGAGTTCTCTAAAGTGAGAGAAATAAGCTGTAGGCTGACTTCTGAGCGGACCGACGGCCTGCTGGCCGGGTCCTCTCGTCTCATCGTCTCTCGGGTGAAACCACAAGAACCACTCAGGTTCAAAACAAAAGTGTATCAAGCAGCGAAATCCAGATGAGGTGATTTATGAAATGCGAGTGTGTAAAGTGTGAAACATGTTGGACTGTTGTTCCAGACGCTCGTCCTCCTGTTCAGTAGTCGAGATCATCAGCGTTCACCCTGTTGCCTCGTCTAAGTCAGGAGGGCCGTACTTTAGGCCTCTGTGAGTACATGAATATGTGGTAGAACACCTGTGAACACGCGTGTGCGTGTACTCCAGTGCTGTGGAGTCAGTTTACGCTGTGAATAAACAATGAGGACATGTGAAGGACAGACGTTATGAGGCATGATGGGACATATCTAGCAGCTTGGGGACCAATGGGTGTCCATCAGGGAGAAGATGTTCAACTAGAAGACGATACCTGTTCCATCCACCAGGGGGCGTCACGTGATCACACTACTAACTACTGATAACAACCAGGTTCTCTGCATCTGCACCGCTGCAGTAGTTCCCACACGTTTGATTTGACAACTTTATGAAGAATATTCATGTTAAAATGCAGTTTATAAAGAACAATGTTTAATTTGTTTTCTAACAACATTAAGCTTTCGTTTCGAATCAGCTCACTTTGTTTCTCTTCTAAAGGTGGAGGTGGTGGGTGGAGACTGTGTCCTTAAATTCCTCACTGTCTGTGGTGAAAGCATTTTCGGTTGAGACGAACGTGTTACTACAAGTCCAAAGACTTCAGGGAGCCGCAGGAGTCGAATGTCAACGATGAGATCTGTGTGATCGATGTATGATGTGAGCACCAAAACCTTCACTCATGGGAAAGGTTTAGGATGAACGTCACTGACTGAGGAGTTTACTTGGTGAAGACCTTCAGTTCACATGATTCAAGACGCCCAAGGTAAAGAGAGAATGACTTAATGTTGGTGTTATGATTATATTATATATTTATAATATTATATATATAACATTTATTATGTGAAGATTGCTGGATTACAGAAGATATTAACAGGTAATAACGTTGTTTTTTTTGTTCATTAAAGAGAATTAAACTGTAAAAAGATGCATTTATTCAGAATATAACCTGATCCACCAAGAACAACTTTATCATTTAGTAAAGAACATTTTCACTATTAGCATGAGGTGGTGTGTTCACTGTGTTGTTAGGATCAGGAAACATTTATTACCATAATATGTCAGACATACAAGGAATTTGACGTGGCGGTTGATGCGTAACAGCAGACAGTACGACAATGAACGACAGTATCAAATAAAATATAATGCTATGGGTCAGTTTAAAAATAAAGGAATGAAAGTTAAAGTTTTAAAGTGAAAAGGTTGGTGGAGCTGTGGGGATTGAGTCAGGACACTGTCTATAGAATCTGCAGTAGGACTCATTCAGCCCGTCTGCCAGGCGGAGGTCTTTCATGGAGTGGAGGGTTTTGGCTTGTAGCTTGTGAGGCGTTTAAGGCCTCCAAACCAAAGCAGAGTCACTTGCTGAGACTGTTGTTGGAGTTTCTCAGACTCAAACGCTGCTTCTGTTTAGTTGTGACTCTGTGAAGAAGAAGGAGACCAACTAAACAATCAGGGATGAAGAACTCAGTCTCTGAATTAAATAGAACTTTCTCCGTTTATTTAACTTGCAAGTGAGAAAAGTCATAACAGATAAGTGCTCATAGACTGAGGGACTCTGTCCATGTCTCACGCATGTGGACCACGTTTCTTCACCTCAGCGAGTCGCAAATCCTCCAACAGAACTTTGTCCGTTTGATGAAAACATTCCTTAGGTGTGATTCCCAACGTCTCCTGACGCTGCGGGTCATTGAATGCGTCCTGACACCTTTTGATAATTCCTTTTGCCCTTTAAACGAAGATATGTAAACACCAAGTACCAACCTGAAAACAAGAAAAGGACTTTTATTTACGTAGATCCTTTTTTTAAATGTTTTGACTATAAAACAATTACAGATTTATTTAATGCTATTATTTGATGTGATGTTTAGGGTTTATTTGCAGTCATAGTTGTATAGATCTTTTTATATGTATGTCACGAAAGAGTAAAAATGTATTGTTCATTAAGCAACAAATAATGAGTTTAAGAATAGTTTGGTTCAGTAACATCGGTGTATTTGTCACTTTCATCCTAAATCGAATGGTTGGACCAAAGAGGTCAAAGGGCCAAGATAAAGATATAATGTTGGTCAAATGTTATTGACTAAAGAAAATTATTTCTGTTTTGTTAATGTCAAATTTGCTACAATTTAAAAAATAATCAGACTTTATCAGTTACCACTTATTGTGTTCATTTTAGTGAGGGCAGCTTCTAAATGCAGAAACCCCACAGATTTAGAACAATTCAATTCTTATTTTAAGGAAGAGTCCAGTTATTTCACAGCCAAGGTGAGTGGAACCAACAAGAGGTGGACTCACTTACACAATGTCACAACAAAGCGCTCAGGACCAGGAAGCTACAGAACATCAGGATGTGAAGACACACTGTAGATTGTTGGTGTGATGATGATGTTTGAGCCTCTTCTCCTCTGTCTCCTCTCACAGGGAGGAGATGATCTGCAGCATCCTGGTGATCTTCATCCTGACCTCCTGTGTCTGTGGTCAGTTCACTTTTGTGTTTGTGAAGCAGCTGTGAAGCATCAGCACACACTCCTCAGAAACATCTGGAGATGGAGTCTAAAGGCTCCATGTTAAAGCTGTCACTTTGTCACCTCCTCCTCTCCTTCTCTGTCTCCTCAGCAGGGTCATTTGTAGTGAATGTGACACAGAGCTGGTATCATGCAGAGGAGAACCACAACATCTCACTGGAATGGATGTTCCCCACCAGCACGGACCCCTCCCTCAACGCCCTTTATGTCTCCTGTGAGATGTTAGCTGATGATAGACCCTTTACCCTGTTTGAGCTACATGAAGGTGTCGAGATCCCAGAGATTCGGGATGAACGCTTTGCAGGACGAGTCCAGTGGGACAAAGACGTCCTCAGAGAAGGACGACTCACACTTCACATCTCCAGACTCCAGACTAATGACTCGGGGCTGTACTGGTGTCAAGTGGACACAAGTTATGGGAAGAACTTTAAGGAATGTCACCTCAATGTCACTGGTAGGTTCATCAAGTTAAACTTACTAACATGTTTAATTCAGCAGCTTTATTCAGATAAATAAACATTTTTCTTTACATTAATAAACAGATTTGTTGTGTCTCTTTGCAGCAGTGAAGGATCGACCCGAACCTGAGACAACGAGTGATACCAGTCTGAGATGGATCGGCCTCTACTGTGTACTGGGACTGACAGCAGCTCTACTGGGATGTTTCTTTATCTTCTATCTGCATTGCAAAGAAAGATTAGTGATCAGCAGAACAAATGATACATCGTTGTTAAATTCATCTAAGTTTTTGCACAGAAAGTGTCTGACTTCTGACATCAAAGTATAAATGTGTGGGGATGGATGAGGCTTCCAGAAGGTTCTTCCCCAGGTTGATGGAGAGAGAACATTAGATGTGATGGTGATGAGAACCTGTGTCCTGATGCTAGAGAGGCAGGATCAGCCCTCAGTTATTTGTTCACATTACAGTCTGTACTTTTACTTTCTACCTTTTTTTATGTCATTGCTGTAATTCTGTAAATTACTACAGACTATTGAAGCAAACTGCTAATTTTCATTTACCTTAAAAAATTGTTATGTTCTAAAAATGTCAATAAATCATGTGAAAGAATGGGACTCTTTTCTTTGAAGAAAATCTTACTTTGTATGACGTCACTGAAGTGGTTGAAAGTGTAAAGATGAACAGTGAGTATTTTGTGTGTTGGTGTTTGTACTCTCAGTGTGTGAGTGACAGTGTGTGTTCTCACAGTGTTTGCTGCACTGAGCCTGTTTGGAGTCACGTGTTAAGAGTTGTGTTGCTTGCAGTGACCTTTGCAGGTGATGTGAACTATTGAGCTCAGGTGACTGTTGGTGCTGCAGACTGGAGTTACAGTTTTGCACATGTGACTCCAGTTGTGCCCGCTGACGTTTAGCCATCAGAAAAAACTTTAACATGCAGATTAACCAGAATGTAATTTAATCTTCCTTCTTCTTCATCTGGTGTTTGCTTGCTTCATAAATGTGGATAAGCATTTAGTAGATGGTGTAAACGTCTTATGTCCACATCCGTGTGAACACAATGAGGATGTTTATCTTGAAGGAGGATGACGAACTGGCTGCAGGACATGATATTCTGCACAAACATGTACGATCAGCACTTATGTGAGTGCACCAGCACCTTCACTCATGGTAGAAGGTTAGGACGAACTCGCTGCACGAGGAGTTCACTTATCAAAGAGCTTCAGTTCAAGACGTCCAAGGTAAGGAGAGAATGACTTAATGTTGGTGTTATGATTATTTTAACATTTATTATCTGAGGTCTCGTGGATTTTTACGAGTTGGAAGAATT